GGCGACTTTCCACAGCCCCTCCTAGCTCATTTTTAATGGCTCACCATCATCATCATCAGACAAATTTGGAGTTTCCGCTTGCCGGTTGTAACTGTGAATAAGGGTTAAGGGTACGTCTAGAAACGGAGGATGACAGGAGGATGCGTTTGCAGGGCAGGGCCCAGGCGGCTGATGGTTTTATCACAGGTGACTCCACAAAAATCACCCTCCCAAAGGAAGGCACGACATTCTTCGGGAAGAAGGCCAGAAGTGTCACAGCCAGCCCTTGCCACCATACCAACATTTCGGTTCACTCCCAATTAATTGAGCAATTTTAGCTCAGAAAGGGAAGCACTACATTACACAGCACCACCAGTTCTCTCACATCACTGGGAAATCTTTACTCCACAAGTTTGGTGCTAGGTCCAACCCTGCTACAGGCACCGAAGCTGTTGCTTAGGGCCAGTCTCAGGTTGGTCAGGGCATCCTTCCAGACCCAGCAGAAACTCAGTCTTGACCCTGTATTTCAAGATTGAGGCTCTGCCAAAGCCGTTCTTCTTCCAGAGAGTCGAGGAGCTGACCTTATTAAACCTCCTGCCCCTCACTGCCCCATGGCTCTGAAAGCCAAAGAGATACCTTGGAGCACCATCCTGGAGCTTTAAAACAAACAAATCTTTATGCAGTACCCACCTTTCTATACAGATAGATCTTATGCCTCCCCCGTTCTCCCTTTACGTATTGTGGCAACCCTTGTCTCCCACACGTGTTTTTGTACGCCTTCCCCAGCATTTTTAGAGCAGCCTTTAAGACACCAAGACCAGCCACAATTACTGCAGCTTCTCCCATCAGAAGCTCCTAAACCACACTACTTATTTCAGGAGGAAAAAATAAAATAATAAAAAAACCAAACCAACACAACCAAAAAAACAAACCCACCACCAAAAAACCCACAAAACCTCATATTGCAAAGCAAACCCCTCACCTTCTCTTTGCTCCAGAATCAGCAAAACCATCCAAGTGTTTCCCCTGGGCTCCTATTTAAGTCCTTCAATTGTGATGGGGATGGGGGGAACTGTTGGCTGATTCCCAGCATCTGGGAGCCATTTCACCCCAGAACAGGCTCAGCTGCTCTCTAATCCTTAAAGGACCCAATACACACTGACACCCTCCTGCTGCTCCCTGCAACTGTCACTATCTACATCTTTTCAGTCCCCTGCAATACTCCTACAGTTCTCCCACCTACTCCCTGAACAATCCTTTTCCTTTTCCCCATAGCTCAGCCTTCTCTCCCATCTTCAGTTTTGGGCTCTCCTCCAAGACAAGAAAGGCATTAAAAAACTGGAGAAAGTTCAGTTGAGAGCCACCAAGAGATTTGGGGGCTGGAGCATTTACCCTGTGAGAGAGGTGGGGGGAGGTGGGCAAGTTCAGCCTGGTGAGAAGGCGGTTTCAGGGGGATGTAAGAGCAGGCTGCCAGTTAAAAAGCACGTTATTGAGCAGACGAAGCCAGGCTCCTCACGCTGATGCATGGCTTGGAGATGAGTCAGTTGAAACAAAAGAGGTTGAAACCTGATACAAACTGAAATTTCTTTACAGTCAAACCCTGGGACAGGTAGCCCAGGGAGATCGTATATTCTCCACCCTTGGAGGTTTTCAATGCTAGACCGGATAAAGCCCTAAGCAGCCTGATAGGACCTCAGATTTGACCCTGCCATGAGCTGGAGGTTGGACCAAAGTCCCTTCCAACCTGGTCCAGCCTGCCTTCTCTTAGCGAAAAGAGGGTGAACCAGAATGATCACCAAGTCCAGAGCTTCATCCGCAGCCGGGCTGTGGGAACCCTGCAGTCAGCACCACCACCCTAGGATCATCCCGTGACAGCTAGAAAAGCCTTGTCAAACACTGTGAATGTAAAGAGAAAAAAGTAGGACAAAGGATTCAACTGAGTTGTGACAGTGACACGTGCCTGTGCTGGGGGAGGAGAAGGAAGTGGTGGAGCACACAAGTTAAATGGGCCAAGAGCATGGACACAATAATGTATCAGCTGCATCACCAGCAGAGTGAAGCTGTGAGATGGAAATACATCCTTCCCCTCTGCCATGTGCATACTCTGGTCACAGGAGGGTGCTCAGCTGTGAGCAACATCTTCCTTTCAGTTAAAGCAACCATGTACAAATGTAATTCTCCCATTATTTTAACTGCCGAGGGGGACTTAGTCAGACGTGGGGAGTACAGGGACCTCCTTTTGCTCCAGGGGGTAGGTCTTGGCAGTGGCTGAGATGCTGTGGCAGCTCCCATCCCAGTCTCTGCCCTGTAGGTAAGGACCCTTCCACTCCAGGGAGAGAAAAAGCTGTGAAGGTGCTCATGTTATCTAATAGAAGAGAGATCTCAAATCCATCATGACTCACTCATCTTTCAAAGCTGTCAAAAAAATCCCCCAAACCCAACACATCTTAAAAGGTGGAAGACGGAAATCAAAGGAAAAGTAGTGGCTGAAGGTTTGGATTCTGGTTTGGTACGTGTGTGGGAAGGCAGCCAGGCACAGACGGGAGCTCAGTCTGGACAGGCTGTGGCCACTGCCACGCTCCTACCCTGTCCCTGGCATCCACCAGCCCTGCTGGGAAGGCGAGCACAGTGCTCTGAAACCGAGAGTGAATGGACCCGGCACCAGCAAAGCATCACTGCCATCTTGGTTAACTGGAGCGATGAGCCCGCTCAGCTGAAGGGATGGACCGCGACAGAAGCTGTTGCTCGGCATAGGTCTGCCTCTTGGCCTCTCCTGGGGAGGAAGTTTTGGGAAGTCTCCCCAACTGGGGAAAATCATGTCTTTAAAGGAGATGACTCCCATTCTCCACTCCCCCAGCACAGGTGGAGGAGATGGTAGCTGGGTCTGTAAAGGTAGAGAAGTGTTTTTATTTGCTATTTGCACTGAAAGTTTCTGTTCTGTTGTGATTGATCCTTGTTACCTCAACCTCCAGATCGAAAAGGATTAGATACTGGAATATGCTGTGAGATTTTTGGAGTCACTGAGGGCTATCTCAGGCATAAAGATGTCCCTCTCTCATTAAACTGTCACTTTCCATCTTAAAAATGGTGACTTTTTGCTCCTGTCCTCTGAATGTGGTGCTGGTCCAGAGCCACATATGTAATAGGATCATTGGAGGGTAACTCAGGCCATGCAGAGGTCATCCTGCTCCAAGCAGGGGGATTGATGAGGAATGTCCTCCCACTTTACCAACATTTCATTTGTGACCACTTCTCTTTGTGCAGGAGGTGCTTCTTGCTCCCCTCAATCTTGTCCATGTTCTGGATGTCTCGCTGTTGAGTTTACTAATGTAACATCGGAATTTGAAACCAAACAAGAGCACTTCCCCTGGCTGTACGACCTGGGACACAGAGAGCATCAGTCTGCTTCCAAGAAGGGGTGGCAGATTTTGCAAGAATCCGGTAAATTGGGATGGGAAAATGATCAGGATCAAAGACAGCTCATCTGAGAGAAGCTCCAAACCAACCAACGCGGAGTTTTGCTCGGAGAGTTCAACCACTGGCTGGCTGCCACCTGCACGCTGCCTGTAAAGGTACCAAACAACAAAGGATTTGAGAGAATTGGCATTGCAAATGTGAATTATAGGAAGAGAAGCCAGTGTTAGGTGTGCTGAGCATGTTGCTAAGGCCTCTCTGTTTAGGCATTGCGTCCCAATTGAGTTCAAAGCGTGTATTGTGGCGTGATAGGCAAACACTCAAGCTCTGTCCAGACAAGGTCCAGAGGTTTAGATGCTCAGCATTTAGGTGCTTGCAAAATATGTTGATCCCTGAGGCTCATGATAAAATCTAAAGCTCCCTTTGAAAGTTAAGTGTTTAACATGAAGGAGCTGGTAACCCATTCATCTGCTGCCAATGTTTTAACAAGGGGATGCCACAAGTATTTCCCTGTGTGAATTTTGCACAGTGAAGGGGGAGAGGCTGTAGAATTCATTTTCTCATGTTTGCACAAAGAAGGATTTTCCAGACAGCATCAAGAAGAGAGAGGGCAGCAGTGTGAAAAGTAAAGAAAGGAATAAGGTCTATGTGCACTAAAAATTGTAAATAAATACAAATACTTGTGCCTAGAAAATCAAGGCCTGTGTATGATTTGGGAAGAGTTTATCCTAGGGATGGGGAGAGGGAGCCCACAGTTGTTCTCCTCCAGGGAATAGGGGTTTTTTTTGTAATTATTGACACTTTGTGCAATCTGGTGCTCTTCTAAATATAATTTTATTAGCATGAGAAGCCACTTGGCAGCAGGAAACTAATGCTGGTGAGTTCACAGTTTTCAAGACAAAGCGTTCTCCTAGAAGGAAGAAGAAAGACTGATTTGGAAAGAAGAGCCTCGCAGCTTCTGCCTAAAACCAGCCTCCGCCTGCCATCTTCTTGTTGCGGGCTTAAATGGAGCAATATTTCCTAGCCTCAGCTTGTTTGTCTCTGGTTTCCAAAGGAGATGAGGCATATGCAGTCACGCTGTTCACCAGCTCTCCTGTCACCCTCCCACAATAACCTCCGAGAGAGGAAGGAACACGTCTATGGAGGCTGGGTAAAGAATAAAGGCTCCCGCTGACACCCACCCCCTGGGACGCGGAGGTTTGGGCAGGAGCCCACGAGTGGTTGCGCTGCTTGGCTGCCCGGCGAGCGTGTTCCAATTTGTCAGGCAGGACGGGACAGAAGAGCTACAGCTGCTGGGGACAGGAGGACACAGCCCACGGGAGCCGTGGGAATGGCCGCTCCGGCACAGGGAGCGCCTCGCTTCCCGGGAGGAGGGTGATGTAATAGCGCAGTATAGCGAAGCCACGCGTTGGGCTGTAGCACGGCTGTATCAAAGCGCTTTTCTGGGTATTACGGCAAAAGGAATCCAGCCAAAGAATCATGGTGAGTTTTATTTTATTGAGCAGAGACAGCGGAGATGAGGGCAAGCTGCTCCCGTTGCTGTGCGCAGGCATCTGCGGCCATTGGTGACGGGGGCTCAGCTGCTGCTGCTCGGTGATAGTGAGGACTCAGCATTTCCCCAGGTGCTTCAATCTTATTTTCCCTCCACTTCTCCTGTAAGAGGAGCAAGACAGACTTAGACAAAGCAGAGTATGACAGACACAGCACTGTGGGACAAAGAGCTCATCCCTCCGAACAGGACAATTTGCCTGACTCATGCTAGTGTGCCCTGGTGCCTCACGGGGAACATCAAACCATTTTCTCCTCTCCTTGCTCTCCTCTGATTTCCCTTAGGATATGGCAGCCTTGAGTGTGCATCAAATGTTAAGGACTGCTAAGGAAAAACCGATGTTTTGTGAGCGCGTTCAGGCCAGGGTTGCTGGCTCCTATTGCAGCTCCTTTAAAAGGTGACAGAGCTCAGGGAAAGGAGAAACTCAGGTTCTTCCTCTGAGATTTTGTGTCTTGTTCCACAAAGTCCCTTCAGACTTTTCAGGAACAATTTGGCACGGCTCAGCTCCTGCATTCCTCCAGACACTTCTCAGTACCCAGAAGTGTGGGCAGTGAGAGTTGCAGCCTGTGGCATATCGTGGGAAATGTGCATCAATTTAGTGCGTGCAGAAGGTACAGGCAGGATGCAATTGCCTGCTGGGCCCCGTGCTGCCTCTCGGCATGGCAACAGCAGCGTGCAAAGCCTAGAAATGAATTTAAATTAACTTGCATTGATGTGGCTCTGTTCCAAGGAGGAAATATTCCACTTGGCACAGTTCAGGGGCTGGTCCGTACAAGAGGAGCAGCCTGGATGCAGGGCCTCCCCTCCGTGAAGAACATCATTACATGCGTGGAAATGGAGCCAACTCTCACTGTTACTTCAATGCCCTCTGCTTTCACTTACAGCACTGCCTTGCAGAAGGCGCACTTGTTTCCGTACGTGATGCCATCCGTGCCGCAGTGAGGGTTGGACTCCCTCGTGCAGTACACACTTCTGTTTACAAACTCTCTACAAATCTGCAAAAGGAATAAAAAGAAAAAAAAAATCCCTTTTCAGGACTCCCATACTCTTTCTTTCACTTTCCAGATTGGATATAAGTTCACTAATGCTTTTTCTGACAAGAGGATTAAAGCGGCAGTGATGACACCGCCTATTTACTGAAAGAAAAAGCCCTGTCAGAAACGAGCAGAAGCAATGTTTCAGGGGAATTTTTGCCCCGTGTTTGAGGAGGGAAACTGTAGTCACCTGGGAGAAGTCTTGATCTCCCAAAGACAGAAGTGGATTAGCCTAGGCATGTAGGAGAAGAGTCAGCACTGATGCTCTTTCAGGCGTTTGGCGCCAAGTTAGCTCACTGCTGCATGGCTTCACACAGCTTGCCAAACTGTGCGCTCAGCTTGGTGCTCGCTGAGCTTTCTGCCTTCCCAGCGGGAGGAGGAGAAAACCATAGTCTATGGGGAATTAAAAGTGCTGTCCAGGAAATGTACAGGTATTTTCTCTCTCTGGACAGGTCGCAGCAATGGACCTTGTTTGGGGGGATAAATCACTCTCAATAGTTCATTTGTTTCATGAGAAGATTGGACAGTGGAGCAAAGTAGACAAACGTGGTGCTGCATACAAACACAACCCCGTGCAAGTACCCTACACCTAATCATGGGAAGCATTTGCTAAACCAACCATCTATTTCCCTGGTCTACTTGCTAATGTGGCCACATATAACATCCCCTGTACAACAGTGAACTCCCCAAAATTGGAGAGAACTCCCCACCTGCTCCCAGCAGACATTAAAAACTGTTTACCGCACACCAAGATCTCGGTTACAAACCCATTTCTCTAGAAAATGCAGGTACAGTAAGCAGAAAGCTGCACTAACCTCTTCAATGTCTTGACCTGCTACATCTGGGGAAAAAAAAAAAAACAATCAAAAATCAAACAGAGATTTTACACGTCAGCATTATTTTCTGATAGACCCTGAATTAAAGTCCCAAACCCTTTATGCAAACCACGGTGAAACACACACCAGGTTTTTCTTACTCCGTCATCCTGCGCGGCGGAGGAGGGGGCAGGAAATACATTATCTGAATTGCTTTTCAGTATTTTGCTTTTTTGAAAAATGTTACTAAAATACCATGTAATCAGTCATTCAGCTGCTAACTGCACCTCAGACACACAACCCAATCTCCTGGAAGGCAGCCACTCCCGGGGAACCGAGCTGCCATATCGGATCCGGAGCTGTGCTCAACAGAGATTTTAAAGCTATATTGACTTTTAAGGCTTTTAGGCTCCTGCACCTCTGAACAACGAAAATGGCTGGTACTGCTAACAAGAGTGAACTGTGGAGAAGGAAAAGGAGACCCCGTGATCAGCTCCACAGCCATCAGCACAGCCCAGAGACTCTCCCAGAACAACTTCATCCCAGGCGAGGTACAGAGACATCACGGGGTGATAGAGAGCAGAACAGGCAGTGCCGGTCAGTAAGAGTGCAAAAATACCCTCTGTAACCACTGGCTCTGGCCTTGGAGATAATCAGTCCATCCTCTTTATACTTCTTCGCTGCAAAGACTGCAGGCAGACATGCAGGTTGAGTCAGAGCTGTGGGACAGGGCGACCCTGTGATGTCTCTAAGGGGGAGCCCGACACTCAAGGGTGGATTGAATGCAGATTTGCAGAGTCTGGGTCACAACGCTGTGGGACAATTACCCAGCATCTCACACAGCAGCAGAGGTTCAGATGGGAGGCTGTACCTTCTGGGTCAGTGGGATCTCCAGCTGTGATGCTGCTCAGGTGGCTCTGGGCAGGAGGGAACCTGGGGCAGGAGATGGGAGAACCTCGTCCTACACTTGCCCTCCCCCGCCCTAAAAATCCCACCCAACCCCCAGCCAGCTGGACCACTACCAATCAACCCACCCTACTTCCTTTGCCAACTGTATCGCCCATCCGTGTTTGATCCCTGGCACTGGTGTATGTATCATGTCCCCACATTAGGCTAGGCTGCCTTAACTGTAAAGTCACTGTTAATGCTATCTGCATATTGTTTACAAAATAACTCATTCAATAGTTTTTATAAATATTACATGCGGCTACACAGGACTTTGTGGTGATGTCTCTTGGCGTTTGTTTATTTTATAGGAGATCACAGAGTTTGCTGCTATTCTGCCTGGCCTTGGAAGGAAGCTTCAGCACTCTGACGGAACCCAGTCCCAATTAAGACTCAATTAGAGACAGATGAGTATTTCATAATGAATAATGCGTACAAAGTAATTCACCTCTTTTCTCCATGCACAGCTTGCAGTTTTCTCAAGTGAATTCTTTATTCAAATTATTCACAGAAAAACAAGTATAAATAATTCTTGTTCTGCACGTTCTTCAGTAACTGTCACCACAAACCTGCCAGAGCTGGGTCAGCTGGACACAAGCAATTGATAACACTGACATGACCTATATGTTCCAAAATCATCACTCAGCTTCCCCAGATCACCAGAGAGATGTGTAAATCTCCAGATAAATAAATGCTGGATCCTCTTAATTTGCCTCTTTGTTCTGACTCCTTGAGGACATTTGAATTTAATTTTCAAGCTTTTCTCTGCAACATAAACGAAAGCTGAAACTTTCATCTAATTACATTTCCACATCTCCAAGGAAAACACCCAATACCAAGATGCTTAGGATCAAAACAAGAGCTGATGACCCTGAGGTGAGAGAGTTTCTTCTCTAACTGGTTCAGCAAAACTCTCCAGTGAACATTTGCACCAAAAATTCATAATTACACTCTGCTTTGGTACGCTTGCTGAAAGAGCCGCTTAAGAATTTGCTCGCTCTGTCTCCCAGTGACACCTCCGCTGTGTTATTCGCTGCGGAGGCACACGAGGAGTGGAAATATGTCATATGAGTGAGCAAGTCCCACAGATATTTTCTACTTGCTCAGCTTTATCTTGAAGCCTGTCATCCAGTGATCAAGGCTCTCCGAAGTTTGCTGTTGTCAGGAAAGGTTTGGGTGTTTTGTTTTGGTTTTTTTTTTTTTTTCCTAGGCTAGGGAAAAGATCACTTACCCGAGAAGAAAGAGAGCAGCAGCAGGCTGAGAAGCACTAAGGCACCTGTTGCCTTCATGCTGCAGGTAGCTCTTTAGTCCAAGCCAAGCGATCTGTGCGGGACGTGTCGTCTCAGCACCGGAGTCCACAGTGCACACACAGACCTGCCTTTCTGTGTATTTATGCACCCATCCGTAGCTGTCCTCCTTCCCCACCTTAATTGTGAGAACTTCTCCACTTCATTTCTAAAGCCATTATTGGTCCTGGCCATGTTTATGGTGCTTTAGGAATGCTGCCCTGTCCACATCAAACCTAGAAAGGGCTAATTATATGAGTGGTAGACTCAGGCTTGTAATATCTTTTTTTTTTTTTTTTTTTTTTTTTTTCTGAATAGTCACAGGATTCTCACAAGGGTGAATTTTCAAAGTGGTGATTCATCAGGGAAGCTGGTAATTTTCATTCTCTGGGCCCTCGCTGAATGCCAGCTCCAAGGCTTTGAGTGCGGCATGATGACACTCACTAGACGTTACGAAATAAATCACAGCATGAGAATATGTTGTCTGTGAAACCAATTATACGTTGTTCCCTGGCTATTTTTAAGGATGGTTCTAAATTTGTTGGGTTGGGGTGGAGAAGCGCTCCGATGTGACATGCTCTCATAGCTGCGTGCACAGTCCCAGATAGGACTGCTGACTCTCTTCCCTGAACTATTTAAACTCTAGCTGTCAATGTTTTCCAGTTTTTTGCAGTCACAAACATATGTTAGGGCTCCGCTCCCACAGCAAGTGGCAAGGAAGGGAATTTGATGGGAAATTGGGAGACTTGAGCTCTATTTCCAGCTGTCTCTGTGCAAGGATTTGTGTTCAGCTGAACTATTTGCAAAATACCTGTTCAGATAAGAATAATGAAATTTTAGCATGCTTTCCTAAGGAGACAAAGCTTATGAGAGCACCATGTATAAATAAATATACTTGTTTATTCATTCCCCCTGTAAATTTTGAATCTACAAGTTCCAACCACATTTGACATAGGGGTGAAAAAAATTTAAAAAAACAACGAAACAAAATATTTTAATACTTTTTTTCTAGCAACAGAGGAAAGATGCTACTAACGGCCTCTTCTCAGGGAGATGCATTGCAGAAGAGCAATGTTATGAATGCCCTACATCTGGGAAAGCATTAGAATTTGCAGCTTGCTAGACACCTTAAAACCCACACAGCAGAGAAGCCATGACTGACAGGTGAATTCGGAGATGTCTATTAAGGGTGAGCTCACGACGCAGCCTCTCATATAATTTAGTTATCAAGTCAGTCAGCCGCAGCGCCGTTCAAAATCATGCTTAGTTCTGCCACTCGCAGCACTACTTGTTTGCCTTTTCTAGTTTCATACGTCACTGCTCATGACCACAGTCTTAATGCCTCAGTCCTTTATCTGCCCAAACGTTTCGGTTACTGTCACATAACCGACTGGCTAAAGCCTTAGCAAACGTACCACAGGGACCAATCCCTTCTGGGCTGGGGAGAAGAAGAGACTAAATTACCAACCGGGTGATTATCGTTGTTACCCCTTTCCACTTCTTTATAACATCTGAAACAGACCATTTGCTGGCCTGGGTGAGGAAATTTTTCTGTCCCTCTGACTTCTCTGAAGATCAGGGTTAGAAGAAGAGCACCTGGACCCTGCTTTGCACTCTAATGGGTGTAACTGGGTAGAGTCTTGCTGGTGTCAAGCCAAGTACTTATCTGTGCTGGACCGGTCTTTAGTCTTATGTCACACAATCCTTTCTGTCTTCTAAAGAATTCTTGCTTAGAGGCTCACAAGGCATCTAGGATACAGCTGTATATCCAGTGCTTACTATTTGCCCTCCCTTTCCCTGTAGGTGAGCTGCTCATCTTTGGGCTTCCTCAATGCCTCTTGAGCTCCTAAGCAAGTATCTGGCATCCTCAGGCAGAAACTACCACAGCAGAGGAGGCTCACTGTAAGATCTTGCTGTTGAATACTATTTCCTGCTATGGCCAAAACTCCACTAGTCTGTGGCCACCCTATGAACCTCTTGGCCAAAAAGAAATTATAGCAGAGCTCGGTCCTGGGCTGACAGGTCTCTGTTCACATCCACTAGCTACTTAGACTGCTCCTTAATTATTTTTCACACACACATATGCAGGTAAGCAGCAAGGACTCTCATGACTCTCCAGTTTGTGTTTTCTTAAGAGCAGGCACAAAGGCATGATGTGATTTACATTGCCTGCACTAACAGAAAAGAAAAAAAAAAAGAAATGAAAATAAGAAGTTCCATCCTCCTTCCTAGGACACTGCACTGCTCTGTGCTGGCACGAGGGGAAGGACCTACAAAATTCCTGGTGAAGAAATGATCTACTTCAGGAAACCAGATCCAAAGAAAAAGCTTGGTAGTCAGAGATTTTGTCCCAAATATCAGCCTTAGCAGCAGATATTTTTGCCACATAACAAGAGAATGGGAGGTGCAGAAAAGGAGAGGAAGGGAGTGTGTGAGCTGTGGCACTTGGGACTTTTGGTCTGTGCTGTTTGCATATTAACTCCTTGACTCATGCAAAAAGATGGCACATCATCATGAACATTCATATATATCATTGCTCCTCCAGTGCACTCTTTAGGCTCCCACAAAGATGTTATCTCCATACCTTTTTTTCAAGATAGTAACCATCTTGGAGCTACCAGCACATCTTCTGGCCCTTCTTTCCTTGGGCTAGAAAATCCAAGGCCTTTTACTGAAGGGTCTGCTGTCCCACCTCTGCCTCAAATACCCCAGGTACAACTCTTTAGATCTCTTCACCAAGAAGCTGAAAGCCTGAGCCCAGTCTCGTTTCTCCTCGGGTCCTCATTAGGCTGATTACAGCCTTGCCCAGCCTGCTGCAATTTTCTGCTGATCAACAGTCTCGATGGATACGCCCTTCAAGGAAGCAGCAGTTCCTAATTTTCTTCCCAATGAGATAGCCTCCTCCCTTTGCCATAAGCCTCTTTTTTGTAAGGCACTGGCAGACCTGTCCCTTGCCCAGGGCTGACCATGGCCACCTTTCCCTTCTATGCTCCCCCAGGGCCATCCCCCCATGCCATGGCCCCTAAAAGGACCAGTTCCTCCAGTCTCATTGCTGTTACAAAGACAAATCCATTTACACTCTATAAGACACCGGAATTAGTAAAGTGGCATTATTTTATAGCAGCTTGGTTTCTCTTCGGATGGTTTGACATGGAATGACGTACTCCCATGAGGGCTTGGGCTGGTGTGTGATGGGCGTTACGCTTTGCTCTTTATTGTGGTTTATTTCACAACTTCTCCTGCCTGACAGATAAGTACCTAAAAGCCTGAAGACCATTACCCCTGCCGTGAAAAAAAACACAACCCAAAAACCAGTCCGTGACAAAGAGAGTGGCTGCATTTCATTTATTGATCAATCAAAGCAGAGACCGAGGA